CTGGCTGAATAGTACATTACCTGGAGAGCTATAAAAATATAACTCATGCCCTGTTCTTACTCCCTGGATATAACTGATATAGAATGGAGTCTATGCATCTGTATTTACAAAATAAATGCATCCACCCATTCATCCATCCATCTATCCATCCATTCCCAGGAGATCATAATGTGTAGTTGGGTTGAGAACCATTGACCTAGGTCTTAGTTTTATCCCATAGGTTCATGTGAAACAAGCCTAATTCTTCTTCTGCATAATAGTCTTTGGAATAATAATGAACGTTATCATGACCCTCCCTTAAATCTTCTGTAGTTTAAACATTCTTGGTTTCTTCACAAGGCACATGATTTCAAGTCTGTCACCTTCCTGTTGCTCCCTTAGATGCTTTCCAATTTTCTTTCCTCTTAAAGTGTAGTGCCCAGAAAGGATTACAGCACTGCAGAATGGTCTATCTGGGGTAGAGAAAGGAAGCAGGACCAACAAGTCTCTCATTCTTTTTAAGCAGCTCAGGATCACACTCTTTTCTTGCTGCTGTTGAGTCATTGCACTCATTCTCCCCGAAAGCCCCTGTATCTTGTTTCCTATGTATAATTATGCCACTTTAGAAAAAAATTTGTAGACTTTACTTTTTAGAGGAGTTTTAGGTTTAAGGAAAAAAATCAACAGAAAGTGCAGAGTTCTTAATTCTGCCTCTCCCCCTGACCAGTTTGCCCTATCAAAGTCTTGCATTAGTGTGGTACCTTTCTTATAATGGATGAACCAATACTGATACATTATTAGTAACTGAAGTCTGTAGTTTTCATTTGGGTTTACTCTTTCTCCTGGACAGTCCTATGGGTTTTGACAAATGCATAATGCATTGTATCCACCATTGTAGTATTATACAGATCAATTTCATTGACCTAAAAATCCCTTGTGCTCTACCTGTTCATTCCTTCCTCTACCACTGATCTTTTTACTGTTGCCATGCTTTTGCCTTTTCAGAATGTTATATAATTGGCATCATACAGTATGTTGTCTTTTCAGAGTGGCTTCTTTCATTTAGCAGTATGCATTTGGGGTTCCTCCATTGCCTTTTGTGGCTTGATAGCTTGTTTCTTGTTTTTTTTTTTTTGTGACCGGTAAGGGGATCGCAACCCTTGGCTTGGTGTCGCCCGCACCGCACTCAGCCAGTGAGCGCACTGGCCATCCCCATATAGGATCCGAACCTGCGGCGTTGCTTCTTTTTAGTGCTTAATAATATTCTGTTGTCTGGATGTACTACAGTTTATTCGTTCACCCACTGAAGCACATCTTGGTTGCTTCTGATTTTGGCAATTATGAATAAAGATGCTATAAGCATCCATGTTTAGACTTTTGTGTGGACATTAATTTTCAACTCATTTGGGTAAATGCCTAGGAGTGCTATTGCTGGATAATATGGTAGAGTATGTTTAGTTTTGTAAGAAACTGCCAAACTGTCTTCCAAATTGGCTGTACCATTTTGCATTCCCATCAGCAATAAATGAGAGTTCCTCTTGTTCCACATCCTCATCAGCATTTGTTGTTTTCAATGTTTTGGATTTTAGCCACTCTAAAAGGTATGTAGTAGAATCTCATTGTTTTAATTTGCAATTTCCTGGTGACATGTACTTGTGATGTTGAGCATATTTCCATGTGCTTATTATCCATCTACAGATCTTTGGTGAGGTATCTGTTCATATCTCTGACCTTTTAACTGGGTTGTTTGTTTTCTTACTGTTGAGTTTTAAGAGTTTTTAGTATATTTTTAGGTACGATTTCTTTGTGTATTTTGCAAATATTTTCTTTCAGTCTGTAGTTTGTCTTTTCATTCTCTTAACAGTATCTTTTGTAGAACAGGAGTTTTTAATTTTAATGAAGTCCAATTTATCAATTTTTTCTTTCATAGATCATGCTTTTAGTGATGTATCTAAAAAACCATCACCAAACCCAAGACCATTTATATTCTCTCCTGTGTTATCTCCTGGAAGTTTTATAGTTTTACATTTTACCTTTAGGACTGTGATTCATTTTGACTTATTTTTGTGACAGAAAGTTGTAAGGTCAATGTCTAGATTCTTTTTTTTTTTTCTTTTGTATTGTTAGGTCACTTTTTTATCCTTCTACTTTTAGTACATTTGGGATATTCTTCCCAAAATCAGAACTTCAAATATATTATCCCAATTAATGTAATCTTTTAAACTGTGGTCTGTTAAATCTGTCTAGATCTTTTTGAATTTTGGTTCTTTCATTCATGTACCTATTCATATGAATTATTTTTTTGCAAATATTTATTGAGTGCCTACTATGAGCTAAGCCCTGCTCTAGGCATGGGAGATACATTCTGAACAAAACAAACTCCATTTCTGTCCTTAAAGAGCTTCCTTTCAAGGTTTAAAAGGAAGAGACACAGACAAGAAATATACAAATAAACATGATTTGTCAGATGGTGATGAGTACCAAGAAAAAGATAAGGCAGGGTAAGGAGACAAAAGTAATAGAGGTGTTAGTTTAGTGCAGATGGTCAAGGAAGGCTGGTCTGATAGGACAAGTGAGTTATGCAGATGCTTAAGGAAAGAATCCAGGCTGAAAATACTGCACATTCAAAGGGCCTAAGCCTGGAGTGTACTTGGCATGTTTGAGGAATAGTAAGGAGGCCAGTGTGGTTGGAGTGGAATGAGTAGAGGAAAAGAGTTAGAGAGGATGAGGTTGGAGAAGTAATGAGGGGCAAGATCGTCAGCTTTGTATCATTTACATATTCAGTAAGTTAACCTTTCGTCTTCTTTGTTGATGAAGTGTTATATAGGAAAAGGCCGAATAGAGTTCCTAGGGGTCTTCCAGTAATTTGACATCATTTCATGGAGCATCTCACTTTGGTTCTAGACATTCGATTGGTAGGTAATCCACTTAGTTGTATTCTAGCATATTATTTCCATATTCTTTCACCTTGTGCATAGGAGTATCATCAAATAACTTGTCAGGAGCCTTGTCAAAGACCAGATGCAATGTGTCTGTCTTATTTCTGAGAGCTGCTGATTTAGTAATCTGTCAAAGAAGGGAATGAGGATAGTCTGAAATGACTTATTGTTAGTGAACCATGCTGATTTCTAATGATCACCTATTTCTGGGTGTTCACAAACCATCCTTTTAATCAGGATTGACATATATTATTTTTTTAAAGAAGTCAAATATTTGCAAGTGTATAACTATAAAGCCAGTCATTTTATTTTTAGAGTAAAAGTAGAGCTATTCATCATAGAATTAAATGGTGTTATTTTAAGGTCTTCCTCTGTGATAATTGTAAATTCATGTCATATTAGGACTTAATTGGCTTAAGTGATAGGATGATTTTTCACACCAGCTGGGTGTCCAACAATTCAAGTCAATTCAATTCTGACACTTATCTCTTGGAGTTAGCCCAGACTCCATAGCTTAAGGGCTTAGTCTCACAAGACTGCCATCACTTCAGGCACCAGTTGCAAGTCATGGGGGCAGGAGGTCGTCACCCATACTTCTGACCTGCAAGCTATAAATTGAGGGTTCCCACATTCCCCTTCTCAGGCTCTGTAATTTGCTGGAATGATTCAGACTGAGGAGAACACTCTGCTTATGTTTACTGATTTATTATAAAAGGTACGACTCAGCAATAGCCAATGGAGAGATGTGCTGGGTAAGGACTAGGGGCAGAGAGGTTGGTAGAGAACTTTCCTGCTCTCTCGGGGTTTGACACCTTCTCAGCACCTCAGTGTGTTCACCAACCCAGAAGTTGCCCAAACTCTATTGCTTAGGATTTTTATGGAGGTTCCATTAAGCAGGCATGATTGATTAAATCATTGGCCCCTGCTGAGTGAATTCTCCCATAGGAAGCCCCTTTCCCCTCCCTGTTGGTCAGGGTGTGGGGTTAAAGTTCCAACCCTCTTCTCATCTTACTGACCTTTCTGGCAACCAGACCCATCTTGAACCTCTCCAGGAGCTCACCAAGAGTCTGTTCATTAGCATAAACTTGAGTATGGTTGAGAGGGGCTTGCCATGAATAGCGAAAGATACTTCTGTCACTTAGAAAATTCCATGGGTTTGAGGAGCTCTGTGCCAGAAACCAGAGACAAAGACCAAATATATATTTTTAGTAAACCACAGGTGCCTTAGGTGCCGCAGGTGCCTTTGTCTATTAGTGTGTCTAGAGTAGTATCAATTGGAGGGAGTGTTTCCTGTTTTAGTATTAGTTACATTGTATCTATTCAAATTTAGTGTTTGCTTTTAGAGGTGTACCTGTCATTGGTGGCTTAAATGGTTCATTTAAGTCTGTGTGTGTACCTGAGATGAAATGTTCTCAATAAAAACAATAAGGCTTAGGTATTGTTTTGTAACTGTTTTGAATCATAGCTGTATTTCTTTATGTACAATCATAGCAAAACAATAATAACCTCCTTTTATTTAGTACAGTACCAGTTATGAACAGTTACCTTGCTAGTTGCTTTACAACAGTATGACAAGGAAGCTATTATTACGCCTTCTACCAACATATAATTTCATTGATAAGGAAATTAAGATCCATAGAGTTTATGGACACTCAGCTAAAAAGTAACAGAGTTGGGATTTAATCTAGGTCCCTTGGGCTCCCAAATCTGTGCTCATTTCATTACATCTGCTTTTCCCTATTTACATGTACACTTGACTTCCTGCTTTCAGATGAAAAACATTGGATAAGTGATGTAATGGAATCTGCACTGAACTGATGTGAGTCCTTTGACTAGCTGTATAACAGACAAATTATTGGGTTTTGATTTTATTTTTAAAGTAAGGAGCTGACTAGGTGGTTTCTGAGGTCCCTCTGGCACTAAAAGTATAAAAGTATAAAAAATTTTTTTATGTGTATCAATTACGTAAAATTTAACAGGAGAGTCAATGTAGAACTTTAAAGAAAATATCTCATGTTTTTTAATCTTTGACCTTGTGGCCCTAGAATGATAAATTTATGAAAGGCTTCCTTTGTATTTCAGACAGATTATGAGGGACAAGCCAAGAAACTCCTGGAATTGATGGAAAGCACAGATGTGATCATTGTTGCTGGAGGAGATGGGACACTGCAGGAGGTATGACTGTTTTTCTGTTTGAAACCATTTTGAAGGTGAGAAAAATGGAAATTGGATCTTAAAGCAATGGCATAAAGTGGTTATAATTTAAGGAAATTATTTCTTTGTAACTCATTTCTTTAGGATTGTTGCTCACTGGAGCTAGTATAAATTTAAATTTTTTCATGCACTTTTTTTTTTGCTGCGTTTTGTAAACCCTCTACCCAGCACATAGAATGGTTTTTATTTTTTCAAATTTATTTGACAAAATTTGGGTAAAATAGGAGACAAAATGTTGGTGGGATAAGCTTATTACATTTTGAAGACTCTTATGAAGTAGCCCTGTTGGTCATGGAATCATAGTTTCAATTATGAGGAATGTTTTTAATAAAATATGCTTAAAGATTCCTTTTGAATTCTTACATCATATCCATAACACATAATGTTATCTCTTAATACTACATTTACAGAAAGAGGTCTACAAGTTCAGATATATGGATCTGCCTTTGTTTTAATATTACATATACTCAATAAGATATCACTATGCACCTATTAGAATGGCCAAACCCCGAGAACATGACAATATCAAATGTTGGTGAGGATATGGAGCAACAGGAACTCTCATTCACTGCTGGCAGGAATACATAATGGTATTGCCACACAGTCACTGTGGAATACCCAGGTGGTTTCTTACAAAACTGAATATACCATACAATCCAGCAATTTTGCTCCTTGGTATTTGCCCAAATGAGCTGAAAACTTATGTCAACACAAAAACCTGCACGTAGATATTACTATAGCAGCTTTATTCGTAATTGCCAAAACTTGGAAACAGCCCAGAAGTCCTTCAGTAGGTGAATGGATAAATAAACTGTGGTACATCCAGATAATGGAATATTATTCAGTGCTAAAAATAAATGAGCTATCAAGCCATGAAAAGACAAAGAAGACAGTTAAGTGCATATTAAGTGAAAGAGGCCAATCTGAAAAGGTTACATACTGTATGATTCCAAATATTTGTCATCTGGACAAGGCAAAACTAGAGATAGTGAAAAGATCATTGGCTGCCACAGGTTGGGGAAAGGGAGGGATGAATAGGAAGAGCACAGAGGATTTTTAGGGCAGTGAAACTATTCTGTATGATAGTATCATGATGGATGCATGTCATTATACATTCACTGAAACACACAGAATGTACAGCACCAAAAATGAACTCTAATGTAAACTATGGGCTTTGGTGATAATGTGTCAGTATGCGTGCAGTGGTTGTAACAAACATGCCACTTGGGTGGGGGATTTTGATAATGGGGAAGGGTATACATGTGTGATGGTGGGTATGTGGGAAATCTCTGAACATATTTCTCTATTTTGCAATGAACCTAAAACTGCTTTAAAAAAGTAAAGTTTATTAATTAAAAAAAAAATCCTTAATACTTACTTTGATCCAGTAAGTATTAAGGATCCAGTATTATTATTTTTAAGTATTATTTGATGTAGTATGTGGCCCTGCCAGTGCTTTTTTTTCCCATGCAGTGGACTAGTGCATTCATCATATATTGGAAACCCCTAAAAAGCCCAATGTGGGTGATCTTGCCCACTGCTTAGCTGTTCGATCCCATATACTATAATTCACGTCCATACCTCATTTCTGATTGCTTTTTGTTTCCATTTGGTGGTTCATCAGTATTCAGGGATCAGAAGCTAACAGCAGACAGGGCACTGTCCTGTGTTTCACTGAACAGTTATGTGAGCCTTAGTAAGCTTCTTTTAAGAAGGCTGTGCTAATGATCTTGTAATTGTTTTTATGGCTTTTTAATGAAGTGTGAAGAATACTGACAGCATGCCTACAAAAAATGAAGTAGACCTCTTGACAGCCCCATTTAATTCTGAAATTCAGTGAGACAGGAGAAGATGAAGTAAAGAGATTTATTTGCATCAGCCTTTACTTTACGAGGTGTTTTTAAAGAAAGATAACTAAAAAATTGTTTATTTGGTATAATTGCAATCATATAAAAATATGCATTGCTTAAAAAAAGCTTTGGAAACATACCAAAATGTAAACAAGTAATTAATACTGGTTATCTGGCATGGTGGAATTATGAGAAATTATTTTTTCTTTGGGTATTTTTCACAGTGTTAACAAGAATACTGTGACTCTTGTCTTCATATTCATCAATAAGAAACATTTATTGAGTGCAGACTTCTCAGTGTAGCAAAGTGTTTTTGTCCTGTATGTGTACCTCATAGTAGTAAACTAGGGTCTTTTTTATGCATGATATGTATTTCACATTTATACCCATTTCATAGAACTTAAAACATAATTTTACTAATACAAGGCGGCGTTCTTTTTTTTTTTTTCCTTTTTTTCTTTTTTACTGACCGGTAACGGGATCGCAACCCTTGGTGTCGCGCCCGTACCGGGGACCGGCAATGGGATCGCAACCCTCGGTGTTGCGCCCGCACCGCGCTCAGCCAGTGAGCGGGAACCGGTCTCCACATGGGATCCGAACCCTTGGCGGGAGCGCTGCTGCACTCCCAAGCGGCTCACTCTCCAGTGCGCCACCGGGCCGGCCCAAGGCGGTGTTCTTATAATTATTTTATCTTAGCCATTGTTGTATTATTGAACCTAGGTTAAGAATAAAATCTAATTTAACTATGATCGTATTGGAGAATATTGTATTTAAAGACCCAATACATTTTTCCCCCCTTTGGTTTTGGTGGCTAGCCAGTAAGGGATCCAAACCCTTGACTTTGGTGCTATCGGTATCAAGCTCTAATCAAATGGCCAGTTAGGCCAGCCAAAGGTGCAATACATCTTTTAACACAGGAGAAAAACAAGAATGATTTCATGGTGCATAAAAATTGAACCAATTCTTTTATTATAAAGGAAAATACACATTGTTTATAATAATTTTTCTTATTCTTTTTTTTTACATTTGTAGGTTATTACTGGAGTTCTTCGAAGAACAGATGAGGTGAGCTTTAAAGAGTAATTGCATTTTAGCTTTTACTTTTCTGTTCTTTTTATTGCTCTTTACTTCTTCCTTTTACCTTTTCTCCCCATTTTATCTTCAAAAGCAGGCTTTCTCATATTTTACAGAAGAAAGTACTGCTGCCCATGTCATAGAACACTTTCATTAACCCATGGTGGACTTTTCTGCTTTGGGAATTGTGAGGGTATCCAATAGCTCTTACCAACAGTTGTTTAAAATATAAAATTTTCCTAGGGAATCTTTTCTTAAAAGAATTCCTTTATAAATAAATTGTGGTATGTTTATATAGTAGGAGCCATACAGCAGTTAAAATGAATGAACTAGATCTATGAATACCTACATGCTTAAATCTCAAAAATATTGAATAAAAAAGGCAGGTTGCCAAAGTATGTTAAGCATTTCTACAAAGTTTTAAAATTCAGAGAAAAATGCTATGTATTGTTAATGGATGCCTAAATATCTAGTAAAAGAATAATAATGTAGATGGAAAGGGATCATACCAGCCTCAGGATAATGGTTTCCTCTGGGAAGGGCAAGAGGAGAATAGGATTAGAAGGGACTTCAACTGTATCTGTATCTTTTTTTTTTTTTTAACATTTAAAGCAAAACACAAATGTTAACATTTGTTAAGTCTGCATCATGGGCATATGGATGTTTGTAGCATTATTTTATGCACTTTTCTACAATAGTTTAAAATGTTTGTTGAATAACAACAAAAAAGAAGATCATTCTCAGTCCCTTTGGTAGTAGTAGATTGTGCTCAAAATAGTCTTTAGGAACTTTACTGTATCTATTGTATTTGTGGCACTTAATTAAATCAGCCACAATGCCACTACCTTCTGCTACTTGAATAAGCAATTCTCTTTGCTTTATTTTTACTTAAAAAGATAGTTTTGTAAGGAATTTTCACTTGTCATTGGTCACTGTACAAATGGTAGGCATTTTCAATTGAGTTTTATCTGCAGCCTTTTCAAATAGTGTGACAATGTAATGTAGTCTCTGTTGCACTAGTACACTGATCTGATGTCTTTAAGGCCATTATTACCTTCAACAAATTTCTTTCTAACAGTTGTCGTTAATGAGTACCCAAATGTTTCCCCCAAATTCTAAGTCATTTTGTTTTCATTGACTGCTTCATTTGCAAAACTGCTCACTTAGTTTTATTTGATTGCTGATCTCAGGAGGTGCGAAGGGAGAAAGGGGAGGCAGATACAGGGTCAGTTACTTTGTCATAGTGGACTCATCTGTGCCTCTCTGTTAAGCTTGATTTTATGACCATAAAAATAAAACTGTCCTCTTCTTTCTTTTCCCCCAGGCTACCTTCAGTAAGATTCCCATTGGATTTATCCCACTGGGACAGACCAGTAGTTTGAGTCATACCCTCTTTGCGGAAAGTGGAAACAAAGTCCAGTAGGTTGTCAATGTGGGATATTAGCATTTGTGGGTGAGCAAGCCTGGGAATGAAAAATTCACATGTATGATATAATTTTTTTGTTTGTTTTCAAGTTTTGATAGCCTGAAACTTTAGATAATTAGAAGGAAGACCTAGATCAGAATTCACACTTTTAGTTCACTGGGAAGTTTCCCAGTTGGGTTGTGGGAAATTAATTTGGTAATCTAATAAGTCTGAGATGAATACTTGATGTCCTTTTGTCAGTTATGAAGATTATCCCTGACCCAAACCGTTTTTGTGCTTTTGTAAGATTCTTTTTTTTTTTTAAATTTTTTGTGGCCAGCTGATACAGGGATCAAACCCTGGACCTCAGTGTTATTGGCACCATGCTCTAACCAACTGAGCTTTGCAGCCAGCCCTGCTCTTTAGTAAAGACAGATTTGTACTGATCATTTGTTTGCTTTAAATATACATGATGACAAACAACAAGTCCCTTGTGAACACTGAACTGGTACCTTGGCTTCATTATCTTGATAATATAAATAGCTAAAACAACAAAATATAGTCACATTCTTTTGGGAATGCCTAAAGTGGTAGGCAGTGTGGATAAAGTAGACAGGGAAAGCAGTGTAGCCCTGACATCTAAATTAAATTGCTGTGATTATAAAAATGTCTTCAGGAGTCAGGTGAATTATTGTTATTATTGTGTTTTTTTTTTTTTTTTTTTCCTTGATCTTTCAAGAGGATAAGGATCTTGAATTTGAGGCCTGGCTTTGACAGTGATTAATAATCTAATCTCAATCAAGTAGTTGTCAGAAAGACATAGAAAAATGGAAAGAGATCTTAGAGATCAGTTGCCTGAACCTTAATGTTCATTTTGTGACACATTGGACGAAGTTAGTAAGTAAATATTTGTTGAATGGATTAATTAAATTTTTCTCATGACTTTTCTGGTTATAACCTTTTAGAATCAATAACGGTATACAGGTGATTTTCTGTTTTGGTTAGGCTTTTTTTTTTTTTTTGCTTTGGAATTTTTTGAAAAATTTAGGCTGGATTTTGTGAATTTATTTCTGTTGTTGTAATTTTAGGAGTCAACTGTTATATCTCTTAACAATTCTTTAGTTTTTTGTAAGAGCCTTGGTCAAACACTAGGCATGCACATTGATGTATATCAGACCTTCATTAAACTTCTCTCAGGCTTCAAATGTAGAATATAATGGTGATCAGTCAGCTACTCACTCATGTTGAGACCTAACAAATAGGAGAGGCAATTTCTTTTTTTTTTTTTGTCTTTTGTCTTTTTCCGTGTCCGGCAACGGATCGCAACCCTCAGTGTTGCCCCCGCACCGGACCGGGAACCGGCAACGGGACTGCAACCCCCAGTGTTGCTCCCGCGCCTCGCTCAGCCAGTGAGCGGGAACCAGTCCGTATGTGGGATCCGAACCCTCGGGCGGGAGCGCCGCCGCGCTTCCCAAGTGGCGCACTATCCAGTGCGCCACTGGGCCGGCCCCAGGAGAGGCAATTTCTATTAGCTATACTTCTTATTCCTGGTTTGGGATTTTTTTTAGGGGCAATAGATAATGACAGTGAATTACTCACGTCTTTGCTTCTCTAAGATAAAATCTATCTGGTTCCGATCTTGGTTACATTAGAGAACCTGTCAGTATATGTTATTTGTACTGCTTCAGCCAATATTCCCAAATAGCATAGGTCAGTGATCCAGGGTTAGACACCATTTGCCTTGGAAAACCCCTTGCTTGTCCAAAAGCTAATTTACATAGAGTGTGGGAACCCTCAGGGTCTGAGATAGACTTCATTTGGAGGGAAGCAGATTTTTCCCTGTAGTTAAACTACTGTTATTGCTGCTTTTATTTATAATTTAAAAATTTATAAAACTTAATTTATAAGCATGCCCCAGCGCTCTTAGTAATCAAGTAAGTCTGTCCTAGACTCAGAATTTTGTGGGTTTCTTAACATGGCAGATGCCTAAAGCTACTTAAAAAGAACAGGCCTTTGCTTTTTGTACTGCTGTCAAGATTTGTTGTACGATAATGACTATAGAAGAAAAAGGAGTCTCAAATTTGGATTGTTGCAGGTAAATAATCCTAAAAGTGCTATTCCATGAGATAGTGCTGCTTTATTTAGAATTCACTTCTTTCTGGAGAATGATAAATTTAAGGTTTAATTTTAGCTGTCTTCTGAAATTTTAACATAAAAAGGCTTTTTGAGTTGCTACAGGTTTTTTTAAGGTCAGTCTTTCAAAGGCACTTACTAAACCTCTCAGTGTGCGAGGTACTGTTCAGAGCAAGTACAGTGCTTTAGGATCCTTTCTAATAGCTTTCTTCAGATCTAATATATTCATGTCAAATTAATCAAAACCTGTGAGCATGCTACTGCTTTCTCCTAAACTGAATCTCATACTCTACACAGCTACCTATTTTCTAGGTAGCATCTGTTTTAGAGGGGAAAAAATGGGATAAAAATGTGTTGATCGAGAAATACAAAGAAGTATAATAGTTTCAACTTGCTTGCTAGGGAACCTGGAATTTAATTAAGCATTTGAGTTAAGGTATATATTTTAGTGTCTTAAGTTCTACCGAACTTTGTTAGAAACACTGGATTAAGTGGATATGATTCCTGACTTAGGTGTTTACATTCTAAGCTTAACCACACTGATGGAGTGGCCTGCAGAGAACCCAGATTTTAGATGTGGGGTTTTTCTTTGGGAACCCATAGATATCGATTTGATACCTCTAAAGCAGCCTCACAAAGTGAAGAGAGCACATCTTTGAAATTAGATCTGAAGTATAATTTCATTTTGCCACGTGCCTGCTCTATCATTTGGGGGATCTAATTTAATTTCTCTGAGCTTCAGTTTCCTCACCTGTGTTTATCAAATGCACAATAACAGTATGTATTTCAGAAAATTGTTAAAAAACTAAAATAAAGACTAGTTAGGTAAGCATAATTGTGCCTGGTAAAGCATCTGATACATTGAAGACTATTCATATTTATTGAAAATTCGTTTAGGAGGAACAAATACTAAATAACAAATAAGATGACGATACAAGGGCACTTCAACAAGTTCATGGAAGGGCTGGCCCGGTGGCGCACTTGGTAGAGTGCGGCGCTTGGGAGCGTGGCAGTGCTCCCGCCGAGGGTTCGGATCCCATATAGAGACCGGTCCGCTCACTGGTTGAGCACGGTGCAGGCGCGACACCGAGGGTTGCGATCCCGTTGCCAGTCGCGGTACGGGTGCGACACCGAGGGTTGCGATCCCGTTACTGGTCACGAAAAAAGACAAAAAGAAAAAAAAAAAAAGTTCATGGAAAAATAAAATTGGAAGATACTACAAATCTTTCCATGAACCTTTTGAAGTGCACTCATGTAGTTACTGAATCCAGATTCCTTAGTTAAAACAAAAATAAATCAAAACAGATAACCCTCTATTCTATTGCTCACTGCATCACCTAGAAATGTCTTTTCCTTTAAAAACAAAAAACATCTTATAGCTATTTAAGTCAGTTACCATGGAAAGCTGACCTTTCCTACCAAATTCACAGTATTAAGCAGATCTGTACATAGCAGAATAGAATAGGCGGGGCCATATTAAGTGAGAAACCACCATTTTTTTTTTTTTTTTTTTTTTTTTTTTTTTTTTTTTTTTTGT